TCCTGAGTAGCTGGGGCTACAGGTACCTACCGCAATGTCTGGCTATTTTTTTGTTGCAGTTTGGCCAGGGCTGAGTTCGAACCCGCCACCCTTGGTATATAGGGCTGGTGCCCTACTCACTTAGCCACAGGCACCGCAAACCTGATGAGTATTGAGTGGAGGGTCAGAGAATCCAGAAATTAGGGTTCTTAATTCAATTTTGGTCCATGGAGTACACACTATGTTACGTTTCCCTCTCCTGGTGGATTTCATTTTAAAAGGGGCGATCATTTTTTCTTTTTCTTCCTTAATGTTTTCTGGCCTTTTCTTGGTCTGAGGTGAAGGAATAGGGGAAGGAGGAGGAGGTAAAATAAAATTATTCAGACAAGGAAGGTCAGAAAGCAGCATAGGCAGTTTGAGGAGCAGTAGGAGAGGTAGTTTCTGACACATTTTTGACCTCAGAAGCATCTTCTGTCAGTTTAATTTTGAAACTGTCTTGAATATTTTCTTAGTCGCTTCCTGGAGGAAGTCACATCTTTTGGATAATTTTAGATACCAACCCAAATACAACTCCCACTAATTTTCCTTGATTCACCAGCCTAATTTTCTAATTTAGGGAACAAGAAAACTAAGTTAGGAATGTAAAACATTTTTTTTCAAGCTGAAGTTTATTTAAAATGTCAAAGAAATGGTTCTTGAAAATGCTGGAGAATAAAGCAAAAGGATACAGTGCTCTCTTCCTACAAGTTAGCTAGCCTGTCCAAGAACAGGGTGACATAGAGTACAATGCTGGTGGAATTCCACAGTAATTTAGTGGTGCAAGATTATCTGTGCCTGGAGTATGAAGAGATTCTTGGTATGTGATGCTTAGTTCTGGGTTTTCACCTTCACTGTGTGTGCATGAACAAGAGCCAGCCACTGCTCCTGGTCATAGCCAAAGCCCTTGGGCCCAAAGTTCTTAGCATAGCATCCTTTACAATAGATTTCACCTTCTTTTCAGTCAAAGTTGTCAATTCAAGACTCTTCCCACATTTCCATTTTGGAAACCACCAGCCCAAGTCATTCTTGGTATAATCGACCCATTTACACAAGTACTTACAAGTAGAGGTGACATAATTATCAAACATGAAACCAACCAGGGTGCTACACTGGGGTCATTCTCTGTTTTCCTCATTTTTAGAGAATCTGTCCTGTTCCCCCAGCTTTTCTTTAAGGAGTTATGGAGCTATAGTCCAGGGTTTAGGGTACTGGATTAGTATGCTGATTTGGGGCCAGACTCCACAGTAGTTCACTAAGCCATCTTTTCTTTACATGTCTCAGTTTCTCTCTTCAGGGTCTATTGCCTACAAGAGGACTCAAAACACTGAGTGATCAGCTCTTAACATACATTTCCCAGATGCGCCTCCTTTTAATTAACTCCAGTGGGATTCCCTGCAGGGCTACTGGGCATTGTGGAAAAAGTGGGAAAATCGCCCCCTGCACACGTACTCTTCCACTAGGCTCTCGATCATCCAGGAGCACCTTTTAGCTGGGAGAAGCAAAATGCCCTTTCTCTTTGGAGCTAAGAAACTCAGTCTCTCATCTGTTTATGAAAGGACAGTTGGGGGTTCTCATGCAAATGCACAAATGAACCAGGTGAAATTATTATTCAGGATGAAAAGGCAATGCAGAAGTCTTATTAAGAATGCACCTCAGCTTGGTTCCTGTGGCTCAAGTGGCTAAGGTGCCAGCCACATACACCTAAGGTGGCAGGTTTGAATCCAGCCCAGGCCCGCCAAACAACAATGACCACTGCAACCAAAAAATAGCCAGGTGTTGTGGTGGGCACCTATAGTCCCAGCTACTTGGGAGGCGGAGGCAGGAGACTTGCTTGAGCCCAGGAGTTGGAG